TTAAGTGCGAAGCGGTTGGATTATGACGAACAAGCCCGTTTTCCAAAAGAAAGAGGCAGAAATTTTAGATAAAGATGATTGTTGATATAACCTGGAACATTAGAGGCTGTAGTCTTCCTTAAATTCAGCCCCCACTTGGATTAGATCTTTGATGCAATGTAGGATTTAAGGTACTAGTGTTTTCATGAAATACGAGACTGGTTTTTTTTTTTGTTACACTACTTACTGTCATTACATTAATCTTATGTCTCTAGCCAGCCAGTGGAGATTGATTTTTCTGAGCAAGCTGAGTGGGTGCACTTACATATGTTTACTGTATCTTGGCTGTCCCATTTATGTGTTAATCACTTAATCCAGTAATTTTCACTATAAATGTTTTTGTGCATTTTGTGGTTATCATTTCAAACCCTTTTCTGGCTATTGACGTTTTGGGCTTTTGGGTTTGATGTACCTTTTAGAGAGTAGACTGAACCTAATCAGGATGCATTTCTGCATATTTTATCAATTCACTTAAGTTTGAGGTCGGGTGGAATTTGGTATGATGCATCTATCTCCATGAACTCTTTGGGGCAAGCATTTCCGCAAAAGCTGGATGATTAAGGGAATGTCTCGGCTTGAAAAAGGGATTGTTAGTTTGTTACTGTCAAATTATTAGATTAAAATATTGTGCTTCCATTTCTAGATCTATTATGTCTAAGGGGTCTAGGAGCCATTGTCTAAAACAATTAGTGTCTGGATTAATTTTTTGGATACTCATCTCTAATGAGTCTAATCTAAAAAATAATCAATTCAGCTAGTTTGATTTAGATTCGAGTTTTAAAATTGTCCAAAATGAGCTCAAACCAAGTCAGAAGATTTTCCATAGTCAATATATTGACTTTCAACTGAAATTAAAGTGATCTTTCCTTTATAAGACATAGTTCCTGTAGGTGCAACAGATTATGGGATTCGGTGCAGTAGTAAAAGAAATTCTAGGTGAAACTGCAATTTTTATCTCTAAATTTCGGCGTGGTTGTGGTTGTGGTTGTGAGGAAGTTGCTCATCTTATATTGCAGGAACATTGATGATGTGGACAAGACAATGGATGAGATCAATGAGCAGACCGATAATTTGAGACAGATACAGGAGGCACTAGCTTCACCTATTGGTGGTGTAGCCGATTTTGATGAGGTAAAGGATTTTTCTAGTCTTTCTAATCACACAAAGTACTTGAAAAAAAGGTATAGCTCAACAAATGATGTATCCCATTTACTCCGTAGTATATACCAACACCCCCTTTTTTTTAATTATTTGTGAAGGATGAATTGGAAGCCGAGCTTGAAGAACTTGAAGGAGCTGAGTTGGAAGAACAACTTCTACAGCCAGCTATATCTGCCCCTATGGCACCAGTTCAAGTTCCAGCTGGCAATCCACCAAGACCGACGCCTCAAAAGAACTCTGAGGAAGATGAACTTGCTGCATTACAAGCAGAGATGACGCTTTGAACACTCTTCATATTTTTTATGTTTATAATCACGTGCCAGAAAAGAAAATGGCTGAAAAAGGAAAAGATTAAAATTGGTTTATTGATTGATGGAGGTATATTGAAAATCCAGTGTTGATAGCTTCTTGTTGTCATGTATATGACCTCATTTTTCTTGCTAACAGAAATGCAAATATTATTTATTCCATTGGTGAGAAAATGTGGTTTGTATAACGTTTGGTTTGGTGATAGGATCCGTTTTGACTGAATTCAAATAAAATAGGTTTATGCAAGTTCAAACAAAATAAGTAAAAAAAGTTTAGCAAATAATTTATACAGTACTATTGTGAGAATAATTTTAAGAAATTTATATACTATGTTTCTAACTTATGTTAGGGGAAAACAAGTTTAGCTATAACAAAAATGAGTTCAAATAATTTAAGTTAAATCAAATTAAGGCAATGCATAATTCAACTTATTTCAGAAAATGTCTATGTCATAGCTTGATAGCTGATCTCCTCATCATATCAAATTAGCTTAGATTGTACTCTGTATTTCTTTTAGTTCTTTTATTTCGTTATTTATTACTAAATATCTTTGATTTCATTGTAATTTGTAATATTTATATTTAGAAGAGTAGACCTAAATACTTTGAAGGTGGAGGATTCATTAAGCATTAGATTAGAATTGTACAAGTAGTAAGATTAGTATTTGATTAACTTAATCATATTAAACCTGATTAGATCAAACCAGATGAAAGTAGATGAACAGTGGACATAGCATGAACAAAATGGAGTCATTGTAGTAAGATATTCTTGGACTTGAGAGCTGCTAGTCAACAGACCATGTCAGACTGTCAGATATGCTGGGATATCATATCTGCAAGACTGCAACTTGCATCCGGCATTTCGTTGTCCTGGTTTCCAGTTCTGGTCAAATACTGAAGATAGCTTCAAATTTAATTCACGCTAACTCGAGCAGTATTCAATTTTATCCGGTGTACTGCAATTTTATTTGGATCAGTACAATTATGGACGGTTTTCAGCAAATCAATTACGCCATATAAATAAAGTTAATGATATAAATAAATCAATTACACCATTCTCAGCAGTGAGGAAAAAAAAAACCTCTCAATCTCTCTCTACCCACTTTCTCACTCCTCCCATACAATTTCTCTCATCAAATGTTTTTTTCACCACAGCAATGAGGAGAAAAAAAACCTCTCATCACTTTCTCCTCCACTATTTTTTAATTACGTTTAAAAATAATTTAATAAAAATTTATAATTACGTTTAAAAATATTAATAATACTAATTGGAATTTTTTTTTATAAGAAATAATAATAATAATAATAACAAGAAGAAATTGGGAAAATATGTTAATTTCTCTAATTTATGGGTTTTTTTGAAAGTATATCAAAATGCATGTCTATTTATAGAGAAAAAAATTTTATGGTCGTTGGTGATTTTTTTTTTTTTTTAAAAATAATTACAACGGTTATATTTCAAATACAAAATATAACCGTTGTAAAAAAACAACAAAAGCAGTGGGGGTCACATGTTACTGTTCATCACCAAAAGCCCTCAACTCTTGAGGGTTTTTATTTTCACTCATCGGTGAGTGTTTTTTTCACTCACTGATGTAGTGTTCGGATTTTTTTTTTACACCCTTATTTTTACTCGTGAGGGCTTTTCTCCTCACTGCTGGGAGTGCTCTGAAGGCTATAGATATCAACATTATTAAACTATTAAAATAACTATGCAATTACTAGTTTTTTTTTTTTTTTTTTTTTTTTTTTTGAAAGAATGCAATTACTAGTTTATCACTCTTAAGTTAATGATAGTCAATACTCAATAGTCATTAAATTTAACAAAATAAACAATTGATCACTACCATTGAGGAATCTGACAAATTGACAATCACATCGTCATATGGTTGTATCTATCAATAGTAGCATAGGAGCACATGGTATGATATTCCAACAAAGATATCCAAGTTGCTGTTAGTGATTTAGGCATGGATTATATTCGAGCGGCTTAAATGCCAATCATCTCTGTAGGCAATGTGCCAAAACTCCCAATCTATACAACAATATTATATTTTTAATTATTTTTAAATTGATCTAAGTCATTTATCTTCTTTGCAAATATAATACATAAGTTTAATCATTATTCTTTTACTCCCAAAATGTAAATTTTATATATCAATAAAAGTGTTGGTCTGGTGATAAGGAACGAATGTTCATTCCAATCTTAAAGTTTGCAGTTGTTCAATCTCGATTAGGGACACTTTAAAGGTGTGAATCCTCTTATATTATCCTTCGAGCTTACGATACAATAAAAAAATATCTAAAAAAGTTATTTTTGGATGTACTTTTTTTTTTTTTTTTTTTCCTTCTCAAATTTTTTAAAAAAAGGAGTCTTATATCGAGTCAGCTAACTCATACGAGGGTTTTTAAAATCTACATCATGCTCATTTAAAGAATTAAATAAAACTTACTTGTCCGGGATGATCTGGAAATAGACAATTTCTTTCTCCATGAACCTGTTCAGAAATCTAAGGTTAAAAAAAAAAGCCATAAAAAATCAAAGTGAGGGAAAGCTACTTCCTCCGTTTTGTTTTGTTTTGTTTTTTTTAGTTGCAACTATTTGACTTTTACATTATTCATGTATTTCACTTTAACTAGCTTTAATGATTTATAGATATACAAAAATATAGTTATGTGGGATGTTGTTAGATACGTCTCGACTTATACTATTTTAATATCAAATGTTTATAACTTTTACACATTGGTAATTAAAGATATTAACGATTAAAATCATACATCGACTAGCGTAAAAGAGAAGTGTTGCAAGTATAAAAAAAAATAGAGGAAATATATATATTTTTTAATATATATGGAGTACTTGTTTTTTTCACCCTTTTCGATCAATGCACTTTTTAATTGTAAAATATGTTCAATTTTGCAATTTTGTACTATCAAATTCATAAAATTTAAGGAGTATTTTTGAAAAACAACAAATCCAGTTCAAGACGATTCGCTTGTAATGTTCGTTAATCAAGATTACAATAAATGGATAGTAGAGGTGTCAATTTAAGTACTTTAGTCGAATTTAATGAGATCGAATTCATTCACGTATATTAAAAAGTAAATTTAAATAATGTTATTTTATTGTGTTCATACAGGCCAAAATGTAATGTAGATCGAATTTTTTAGAGTCGTCTCAAATCAGGTCAATAGAGTCAGTTTTGACTCCACTGGGTACATTAATTACTAGTAGAAACAATATGAGTACTTTTTTTGACATGAAAGAGGGAACAAAGCTTATGTTTAGACGTTTAGTGTTTACCGTTTTGGCACCTTAAACTTAACAGACAAACACAAATCATGTGGAGTTGTGGACCCAAAAGAAGGCTGTCCTCCAGCCTAGCCAACCAAGCCCTAGGCAAAGGAATCCTCCCATTATCAACGACTCCTCTTTTCATGGTCCCACCTTAAGTAACCGTTTGAATTAGGGGACCACTAAAATTGCACCGTTTTCAAATCATGTAACCGTACATCCTCCATTCCCCTGTTTTACTCCAACTCAAAACACAAAACCCTTCATTTTTCTCCAAAAACACCCAAAATTATCATCTGGGTTTTTAGTATCCTTCATTTTCATCAAATTGTACCCTTCAGTTTTTAAGATTAGTTCTTCAAATTTCAACATGACTGCTGAGGTTTCATCAGTTGAAGAAACCCAGAAAGAAGAGGTTTTAATTTCTGAAAAAGATGCTAAATTGGTCAATGAAGAAGAACCCCAAAAAGTTGAGGAAAATACCCAAAATGTAGATGATAATACTCCTAAGCCAAATTTGGTTGAAAAGAGCTCTTCTTATAGGGAGGAGAGTAATTACCTCTCTGACCTTAAAGACGGCGAAAGGAAGGCCTTATCCGACCTCAAATCGAAACTCGAAGAAGCCATTTCAGCAAATTCCTTATTTAATTCTGAGGGGAAGAAAGCCGATAACCCGGCCGAGGAATCGAGCAAACAAGAGACAGGAGAGGAAAAGATCGAAGGAGATTATGAGAGTAATATTTCCATTTGGGGTGTACCTTTATTGCCTAGTAAAGGCTCAGAAGGTACTGATGTAATTTTATTGAAATTTTTAAGGGCTAGAGAATTTAAGGTCAATGATACATATGAAATGATCAAGAAAACCCTTGTTTGGAGGAAAGATTTCAAGATTCAATCCATTTTAGGGGAGAATTTAGGGGAGGATCTTGCGAATGCGGCTTATATGAATGGTAAAGACCGCGAAAATCACCCGGTTTGTTACAATATTTTTGGGGTGTTTGGTAATCAAGAGTTGTATCAGAAGACTTTTGGGAGTGAGGAAAAGAGTGAGCAGTTTTTAAGGTCAAGGATTCAGTTTATGGAGAAAAGTATCGAAAAGCTCGATTTTAGGCCGGGGGGTGTTACATCAATTCTTCAAGTTTATGACCTTAAGAATTGTCCTGGACCTTTTAAGAAGGAAATTAGAACTGCTACTTCTAAGGCTGTTGGACTTCTTCAGGATAATTACCCTGAATTGGTTGCTAGAAATGTGAGTATTAATAGTTTCACGTAATTTGTTAATTATATGCCCTATCGTTTTTATGTAGGATTAATTGGTTTAGTTTGCTAATGTTATGTGGTTTATTTATGTGACAGGTATTTATTAATGTGCCATTTTGGTACTATGCTTTTTACTCCCTTATTTCACCTTTCTTGACTCAAAGAAGTAAGAGCAAGTTTGTTGTTGCTAGGCCAGCTAAAGTTACTGAGACACTTCTTAAGTGAGTCAACCTTAATTTTTTGTTATATAGTTTTCTTAATTTGTCATAAGTTTTACAAGATGCTTAACATAATTGTTTATTTTTAGGTACATCCCATTTGATGAAATTCCAATTCAGTACGGTGGCTTCAACCGCGAAAATGATATTGAATTCAATTCGGAAGAGGGTGTAGTTACAGAAATTTGCTTGAAACCTGGATCAACAGAAATAATTGAAATCCCAGCAGAAAATGTATGAGCAAAAAAAAAAAAACACCCATTTTCTTAATTTTACATTTTACTGCTTTGCTGTCATTTTTTTTGGTCTGACATTGGTAATTTTTATTACCATAACAGGCTGGTGCAACATTGATATGGGACTTGGCTGTATTGGGATGGGAAGTGAGTTACAAGGAGGAATTTATTCCAACAGATGAAGGGTCTTACACCATTATAATCCAGAAGGAGAAGAAGATGGATTCGATCGAAGAGCCGGTTCGAAATTCATTCAGAAACAATGAGCCTGGGAAGGTTGTGCTTACTGTCAAGAACAATTCCAAGAAGAAGAAGCGCGCCTTTTACCGATACAACAATCAGAAGAGTTGTTCTGCTTGAGAAATTTAAGGACTGATATGGGGTGTTTGTTTATATGCTTAATTTATTATGTTGATTTGTGGTTGTTTGTTTAGTAGAAATTCTTTTTAGGTTGCTTAAGGCTCATTCTTTTTGTTAAGTGACATTTGTTGTTATTTATTGGGATGGTTAATTCAATTCTTTTATCCAAATTAAATTGTGGATCCTTATTCTCCGATGTATCATTGCATAATTTCTTGTTCAGTGATTAAATAACACAAAGCAAATCTATATCAAAAGAGCAGGAACTATACATTTTATATAAGAAAAAAGTTGCAAATTACTTGATAAGTTGAGCAGTGTCACACATATCATTAGCCTTATAGAGTAAAAACTAATTTATAATTTCGAGGATTAGTTTTAGGATTGAACCTCTTCACCTGGGCTATGCTAACGTGCAGCATTTTTGTGTACGTAATAGCCTTCATTCAAGTTCCCATTTCATTCAGCTCCATTTCTAAGCACTCTTTCAGTTCTGTAACAATGCGACTCATTGTTGTCCTTTCTACTGCAGTTTGCTTAACACATGCCAGAGCTATGCTTGTGACCCTCCGAAGGAAATTGGTTCTGTGCAATGCTTGCAGTCTTTTGTCGACGATGCTCCAAATGCCACCTCTTTCAAGTAATGGACTAACTCATCTAACCAAACTAGTTTGCTCATCATCTTTTTTCATGATTGCTGTTTAGCCTGTGTTTAACTCCAAGACGACTACCCCAAAACTGTATAAATCACTTTTCTCATTCAGCTATTGTGTAATATGATATTATGACACCTAAACATAATGAGCCTACATGTCATATAAGTTGGTAAAATGCATTCAATTCCATTGTGGCAATGACTCTTGTGTATACATAGGATCTATTTTCATCAATAAAAAAAAAATAAAATTGAGATAGGATTCTTGATTTCAATTATGAAATGATTTCTGTGAGACGGTTGTTTGGGTTGTCAATTGAAAACGGCCACTTCTTGATACTTAGGGTGTTTTTATTTATAACTTGGGGGAAAGTAGCAATGATTTCTCACCAGTTTCCAATTACTATACAGTTTGCACATGTTGTGCGACAGCGGAAGCAAAGGTCATAAACAATCAAGAAACAATCAAGAAACTCAATGCAAACAATAAGAACAACATCAAGAATTTACGTGGTTCACTATCAATGTGATAGCTACGTCCACGGGCACTGAGATCAAAGTATTTCACTATAAACTGCAAAGATTACAAAGATGAATTGAATCTCTCAATTCGGCTCTCTCTTACTTCTCTCACCCTTACCCCAGCAATAATAACAGAGATTATATATATATTAATCCCTAATTAAAAGATACTTGGGCTACAAGATAAAATATTAAGGAAAAGATAAGCTTAGATTCCGTAACCGCGTAAGGTCTTCTCCGCCCGGTCAGACCGGGCAATGACCGCCCGGTCGGGCGCGAGTCACAACCTTTGGGAAACGGAGTACAAACTTAGAAGTCTTCTCCGCCCGGTCAGACCGGGCAATGACCGCCCGGTCGGGCGCGAGAAGCAACTTCTTTGAGAATGCTCCCAGGCAACTTTTCTTCTCCGCCCGGTCAGACCGGGCGAAGCCCGCCCGATCGGGCGGACAAAGTCTGAAGAGTTACGAAGTCACCTATACTTATCAACAATCTCCACCTTGACGAGAACTCGTAGTCAGCAAACGATCCCATCAACACATAGTGACAAAACATCTCAAGCCTAACCCGATGCAAGACTCATGCATAAGCCATACATCCCGATAAGTCTCCAACCAAGACCCATCACATACTCGTCTCCAAGTATAACAACTCATAATGCTCCACCTGCATCACAAGCCCTGGGCAAGCTCCACCTTAAGGCCAACATACCTTCACCAGGAGCTCCCCAACACCGCCCCTCAGGGCCTACTACATCACGTAGTAATCAATATTTAGCAAGTCCAAGCAATGTTTAAACTTACGAAATGGAACAGGCTTAGTGAAGAAGTCAGTCGGGTTGTCAGCAATCCCAACTTTCTTCACCTTAATCCTCTTGTCAGTACGTAAGAAATGATACCTGACATCAATGTGCTTAGTCCGATCATGATGTACTTGATCTTTAGCTAAGAAAATGGCACTTAGACTATCACAATACACCGTAGCAAAATCCTGTGCAATACCCAGTTCACTTAGACTATCTCTTCACCCATTGAGCCAAATAGACTCCTTAGCTGCAGAAGTTAAAGCCATGTACTCAACTTCAGTAGTAGACAATGTAACTGAAGACTGCAATGTAGACTTCCAACTAATCACAGAACCACCCAAAGTGAATACATACCCAGTCATGGACCTCCTGGTATCCACATCAGCTGCATAATCAGAATCACTATAACCAGTCACCAAGCACTCCTTACCATTCCCATACACAAGACCAATATCAGTTGTCCCTCTCAAATAGCGAAAAATTCTTTTCACCCCCTGCCAGTGTTCCCTTCCAGGTCGAGCCATAAACCTGCTTACAACACTAACAGCATGCGCAATATCCGGCCTAGTGCAGACCATAGCATACATCAAACAACCAACCGCATTGGCATATGGAACTCTAGACATATAAGACAACTCCTCCTCTGATTGAGGTGGCATAGACAAAGACAACTTACAGCTCACAGTAGTTGGCGTACTTATAGGCTTTGATTTTTCCATCCCAAAACGAGACAAAATCTTTTCAATGTAGCTTTTCTGGGTCAAGAAAAGCTTACCTCTAGCCCGATCCCGGTAGATCTCCATACCCAAAATCTTCCTAGTTGCACCTAAGTCTTTCATGTCAAACTCCGAGTTAAGCATCTCCTTTAATCTAGCAATATCAGATTTATTCTTTGTGGCAACCAACATGTCATCAACATATAACAGAAGATAAATCATGGAACCATTATCCAGCTTACTATGATACACACAGCAATCATATGAGTTCCTGTCAAAACCATGCGAAACCATAAAAGAATCAAACCTCTTGTACCACTGTCGGGGGGATTGCTTAAGTCCATACAATGACTTTAGCAATCTGCAGGCATAGTGTTCCTTTCCAGGAACTTCGAATCCCTCGGGCTGCTTCATCAGAATCTCCTCCTCCAAATCGCCATGAAGGAAGGCCGTCTTCACATCTAACTGCTCCAGCTCAAGATCAAAATGTGCTACAATTGACAATAACACACGAATAGAGGTGTGTCGAACCACAGGTGAGAATATCTCCACAAAGTCGACTCCTTCTACCTGACTGAACCCCTTAGAAACTAGCCTAGCCTTAAAACGTACTTGCTCAGTTTCTGATAACCCTTCTTTCTTCTTGTAAATCCATTTACACCCCACAAGCTTCCTCCCTTCTGGTACTTTTTCCAGTTCCCACACTCTGTTCTTGTAAAGAGACTGCATCTCTTCACCCATTGCAGCAAGCCATTGCGCCGACTCACTACAACTAATTGCTTGTTTATATGTGGCAGGTTCAAATGACTCTACATCATCAGCTACACTCAATGCATAACCTGTCAACTCATCAACACAGCAATTTCTTCCCTCCATCTCTTCAATCAATCTAACAGGCTTCTTGATAACTCGCTTGGACATCTCAAGAATGGTGTCAGGTTGACTAGATGACCCCTGATTTGATTGCTCCACCTCCTTCCCAGAGTTAAAATGAGTTGGAGTAATCTTAGGTTCAGGAGTACCCGGCGTTGGAACATCAGCATCATCGTCAATATATTGTACCCGAGGTAAATCAGCAATGGTAGACTGATGTACCTCAAGCACCCCATCTGTCTGTAATAAGTTCTCCCCTTCCCTTCCCAAATCAGAAGTCTCTGTATTTTTAGTTGAATACATGGTGCTTTCATCGAAAGTAACATCCCTACTAAGGATAACCCGACCCTCCGAAGGTGAATAGATCCTAAACCCCTTCACACCATCCCCGTACCCAACAAAACACCCCTTCTTGGCTCATGGATCCAGCTTACCCTCACTAACATGATAATAAGCAACACAACCAAAAATCTTCAAATTTGAAAAATTAGGCAACTTACCACTCCAGATCTCAAAAGGAATCTTGAAATCAATTCCCGAGTGAGGACCCCTATTAATGACATAACAAGCTGTCAACACAGCTTCACTCCAGTACCTCCTCCCAAGACCTGCATTGGAGAGCATGCATCGAACTCTCTCTAGCAGTGTCTGATTAACCCGTTCTGCAACACCTTTCTGCTGTGGTGTCTTCCTGACGGTATGATGCCGACCTATACCTTCATCTGCACATAACTAATTAAACTCTTCTTTGCAAAACTCTAGCCCATTGTCTGTTCGTAGCTTCTTTATCTTCTTTCCTTGTCGATTTTCCACCAAAGTGTATCGGGACTTAAGCAACCTAAGCCATGTGTATCGGGACTTGTCATCAACAAATGACACAAAATAGTGGTAACCTCCCATACCTTCAACTCTAGATGGACCCCAGCAATCTGAATGGATATAATCGAGCACAACATCAGTAATGTGAGCACCCTTACTGAACTTTGACCTGTGTTTCTTGCCAAACACACAATGCTCACAAAATTCAAGGTTGGCAACCTTGACTCCGGATAGAAGACCCCTCTTAGACAATAGCTGCATCCCTTTCTCCCCTATATGGCCAAGCCTCATGTGCCAAATCTTAGTCATCTCCTGGTGGGATACTGATGCACAAACCGCAGAACTAGACAGTGTAACACCCTCAAAGACATAGAGAGTGTTTCTTTTGATACCCTTAAGTACCAACTCAGAACCTCTGTAAATGCACAACTCCCCATCTGAAAACACACCATTGTACCCCAAATCATCCAGAGTACCCAATGAAATCAGATTCTTTCCTAAAGCAGGAACATGCCGCACCCTAGTCAAAGTTAACCTCCTCCCATCAACAGTCCTCAAACTCATGGATCCAATACCTGTGACCTTACAAGGAGCATTATTACCAACTATAACCATACCCCCATTGCGAGGCTCATATGTGTCAAACCATTCTCGACGTGGACTCATATGGAACGAACACCCCGAATCTAGAACCCAGTTATCAGATAAATCACCAAACCTAGCAGAACTGACTAATGCTAAGTCTTCCTCTGAATTATAGTTCTCTTTCGGTTTTTCTTCGACTACAGCAGCTTGGGAGTTATTTTTCCTTACCGGACAATTAGCCCTAAAGTGACCAGGTTCTTTACAGTAATAACAAGTTTTAGTAGCAGTTTTACCAGATCCATCCATGTCGTTTCCAGCACCCGATCCAGCATTGTTCCCCTTGTTAAACCCCTTTTTCTTTTTAAATTTCCCGGACTTAACAAACAACCCACTACCATGATCCCCATTATCACCTATAGCTTTCTGACGAAGTTCCCTAGTATGAAGTGCTGCCTTCACTTCTTCTAAGGTCAGTGAGTCCTTACCAACAACAAAGGACTCTACAAAATTCTCAAAGCTAGACGGTAGAGACACAAGTAAAATCAACGCAGCATCCTCATCATCAATTTTAACATCTAAATCACGCAAATCAAGTAAAATAGAGTTAAGTTTTTCTAGATGTTCACGTAAGGAAGTACCTGACTGCATTCGGAGGCTAAACAACCGTTGTTTCAGTAATAATTTGTTGGTCAACGACTTAGTCATATACAATGACTCCAATTTCATCCATAATTCAGCCGCCGTTTCCTGATCAGCAACCTCCGTGATGATGTGATCATCAAGGCTAAGTAATATGGTAGAGTGAGCCTTCTCTTCCATAACTTCTAATTGCAAGTCAGTCAGTCCGTCTCCTGACCCCGAAGAAGTACTCTTTTGAGCCAACGGACGCCATATCTGCTGTTGTTTTAACAAAGCCTTCATCTTAATTTGCCATAGCCCGAAACTATTTTTCCCGGTAAATTTCTCAATTCTTATTGTTGAATCTCCTGCCATTGTTTCCCTCAAGAAACTTTCCAAGGATTAAACCTAAGCTCTTGATACCAATTGTTGTGCGACAGCGGAAGCAAAGGTCATAAACAATCAAGAAACAATCAAGAAACTCAATGCAAACAATAAGAACAACACCAAGAATATAATTTACGTGGTTCACTATCAATGTGATAGCTACGTCCACGGGCACTGAGATCAAAGTATTTCACTATAAACTGCAAAGATTACAAAGATGAATTGAATCTCTCAATTCGGCTCTCTCTTATTTCTCTCACCCTTACTCCAGCAATAATAACAGAGATTATATATATATTAATCCCTAATTAAAAGATACTTGGGCTACAAGATAAAATATTAAGGAAAAGATAAGCTTAGATTCCGTAACCGCGTAAGGTTTTCTCCGCCCGGTCAGACCGGGCAATGACCGCCCGGTCGGGCGCGAGTCACAACCTTTGGGAAACGGAGTACAAACTTAGAAGTCTTCTCCGCCCGGTCGGGCGCATAAGTCTTCTCCGCCCGGTCAGACCGGGCAATGACCGCCCGGTCGGGCGCGAGAAGCAACTTCTTTGAGAATGCTCCCAGGCAACTTTTCTTCTCCGCCCGGTCGGGCGGACAAAGTCTGAAGAGTTACGAAGTCACCTATACTTATCAACAGCACAGACCTTGAGGCCTGAGAATACACACAACTGTTTCTTTTGAAAGTTTTGCAGGCTTAAATTTTGAATGGTTCACATAACTGTGTCTAGTTTGTTGAGATGGTTGGTTTACTATTAGATGCTTCTAAAACCTTCAGGTATACGCTTTCAATGACAAAGAGACGTACTATATGTGTGAATATAACATTTCATTAAGAGAGGGTAACATTCGAAACCTCTTAATAACTGTGACATCTTTAGGGTATGTGGTGCATATTTTCCTAGCATGGAAATTTTGGCACCAAGGTACCCAAAATATTAGGGAATGCAGAGGATTGTATTATGGATCAATGCAAATTGACTGGTAAAATGGAAAGCTTCCAGTTTCCACTTTCGTGACCTAGCCACTCGTTTAGTAATCTATCACAGAGATCTAAGTAGCTATTAAGCCTGCACAACCACCAAAGAAAAAAGAAACCAGCATATGTATATTTGTAATCTGATTCCACATCACAAAAAGTATAGGTAACGAAAATAGTACTAATTGTGTTTCACACAAAGCAATGAAAGTTATGCAACAGGGCCGAAATAGGAAGACATATGTCTGCAATTCAATTAAGCAAATAACAAATTATGGGACTCTTATTGTTATCTTACTTCTGGAGCCATTTCTGTGTTCGCGGTCACTAGGCACATTTCTGTCGAATCATCAGGAACTGTTGTATCATGTTCAGTGTTCATCACCATAGCTAAGCACTCTTTCAATTCAGTGACAATCTGACTCATTGTTGGCCTATCCATTGCAGTTCGCTTCACACACGCCATAGCTATATCTATTACCCTCCAAACAGAATTCGTGTTCTGAACTTCCTGCAACCTTCCATCCAGGATTTCCCTCATATCCCCCGTTTCAAGAATGGGGATCACCCATTGAACCAACGTTCCAACTTTTTCTTTAATATTCACCATTGCCTCTTTACCTGTGATTAACTCCAATAGAACCACCCCAAAACTGTATACATCACTTTTCTCTTTCAAATGCTCTGTTTCATGATACCTAAACAAGGAGAATTGTTAATATACTATTTATACATCACTCTCAACAATTCCTAGCATGCTTTGGTTCAAAATTCATTAAATTTTTCATATGCACTAGATTAGAATCAGAACACATGTTCATAATGGTATTAGCTGCTTAATATGTAAATCAATAAACAAGTATGAGTTATACATGAATCTGCTAATGCCATAAACGGTTGTGTTTCATGTAAAGTAGAGGTTATAGATGTGTAACTACTAATGGCAATAGCATTGCACTTTGCACAAAATAATGGCAATAGCCAAAAAATGTGATACATCAGTTTGAACCTACTGTCAAAATTCTAGGAAATTTTTATCTTGCCTAGCATTTTAGCATCAGTTTGAACCCAAAAATGTTGCATAATAAAGGGCTGGGTTTTAGGATGTGCTTACTGAGGATCGAGATAACCTGGTGTACCAATCACCCTTGTGGATACATGGGTTCGAGTTTCATCTGGGAAAATTTTGGACAAACCAAAATCTGCTATCTTTGCCTGGAGATTTTTATCTAATAAGATATTTTGCGTTTTCACATCTCTGTGGACTACAGGGGGCCTGCAACCGTTGTGCAAGTATTCCAGTCCTACAATTAAGATTATGTTCAAACAAAGTCATGATTAAACATAGCTTGATATAACCTCTAATTTCCGAACAAAAATTTAAGTATACATATACTGCTTGCTGACCTTGTGCAGAATCTAATGCTATCTGGAGCCTCAATTTCCAACTTAGTGGCTTCGAAGCTGGTAGAAACAAATAATGAAGAGCACCATGAATTTCCCATAACACAAAATGTTATAACAATTACTGTTACAAATTTTAGCAAGGTATACCTGACAGATTAGATTGCAAGTTTCCACCAGCCATATACTCATAAACTAGAGCTAAGTTTGTTTCTTCTTCACAGTATCCAATTAGAGAAACCAAGTTTTTATGACGAATATCCATTAAGAGTTCAACCTGTTGTTAAAATGAATGCGAATCAATTAGGAAGGAAAAAAGAAAAAAAAAAAAAAAAAAAAAAAAAGCAGCCATGACCATATATATTCAATTTCCAACTTTTTCTGATCAAACCTCTATTTTGAATTGTTCAGAAGCGTGGATTGTTTGAGACATCATTTTAACAGCCACTTCCGTGCCATCATTTAGGCAACCATAGTAAACTACTCCAAACCCACCCTTTCCTAGTTCTCTTTGGAAGGCATTAGTCATGCTTGTTAACTCGGAATTGGTAAACCGTGTGAATTCACCCTTCCTTTTGCCGTGGTGTGGACTTGGTCTTTCATACAGTCTGTGGATAAAGGTTCACTCATGAACTAAAGAATCCAAAGAGCATCATGATTTAAATCACATCACCATTGAGTAATGTACTGAAAAAGGGTAATATATGCGGAATTGTACCTAGCAATACGTTTCTTGTATATAAAACATATGATGCAACCTGCAACAAGTAGAACCAATAGAGCAGAAATTGATGCTACATGAGCTACGTGTGCTTTACTTTTCTTCTTCTTCAAAGTACAGGATCTGCTCGAACATAGACCTGGAATGTTTTCCACACTTAACTCGGCCAAAACAACATAAACAAGTCAGGATTTATGCTTATGGGAAGGGGAACTGTCAAAGAGAGAAAGCTATAAGCTATTGAATATCTTTTGATATAAATACCTTAAAGACAGTGTTCCTGCTGCAGATTTTTCTAACAGAAGTTCAGGAACTGAACCAGTGAAGTTATTTTTTGAAATGTTTCTGCAAACAGTGATTGTCTTAATACTTCCACATAATTTGAACATATAATGTACCCCCGTCTGAATTTAGCTGTCACTTTGCTAGTCAATTACGCCATCATAGTCACAACTAATTTCAGACTGAGGGAGCTGAGAGGGGAAGAAAATGAGAGATAGAATGAAAAGTAAACGGACAAGGTTTTTAACATTGGCAAGTCTGCAAGAAGCTCAGGTATCATCCCAGTGAGGTTGTTGTCTGACAAATCCCTGAAATTAACGATATTATTCATAAATAAGAAGCTTGAAATGACTGAAATCATGCAGACCTCAAATCAAAACACTGTTTTCAAAAACATTACAAGATTTGTAACGATGTAAGACCAGCAAATGACGCTGCAATATGTCCTGTAAGGCCTTTTGAACTAAGATTCCTGATCACAAAATTGAACGGATTAACTTCAGAATTCGTTAATTACCAATTGAACAATACGAATAACTGAAAGCTAATAGAATAAGAAGTATGGTCATAAGTTCGTTCTCATCTTACACTGATGTTATTTTGGAGAAAATGGAACTGTAATAGTTGCAGACCACACCAGCCCATGGGTAACTCTTTGGAAAGCATGGATCTCCTTGCCAATTGTTCATCCGCTTATAGAATGACTTGATTTGGTTGAGAGCAAGAACTAATTTAAGTGTAATCAATTGACATCAATATCAAAAGACAAACATTCACTAATCATTCGACGATAATGATAGATTATGTGGCTAAAAATTTACCATCTGCTGCATCAGTGGACAGTTCTGAATTTTTTTTTACGTTAAACACTTCAATGGAATTCACTATTGGAGGAAGGGTAGAATTATTGGTTCTTTGGATGGTAATATTAAGATAGGAGTCAGTAATTGGTTTCTGGTTATAAAAGGTTGTAGTTTGTAGGTAAGGCAGTGTAAAGATGATGGGTTTTTGCACGCCATTTGAAGAGATAGCAAGTTCCCTGACTTCACCTTTAGGAAGTTTTGAAATCTCAGCAACATGGAGGAAGAAGTAAAATTCTGTGCTTATACCACTTGTTAGCCTGTAGAGTAATTCTATAGGTTGATTATCTTCTGGTACAAAGGCTGCTTTCATAACTGGTGATGGCAATGAATAGCCATCCGAGTCAACTTCGGACATGGTCTGAATGAAGCTCCCTGAAGTTGGGTGTCCAGGTGACCAAATGCGGTCAAAGACATCATCCTTGTATCTGAAACAAAGATTAGCCCCAAAATCATAGAATAAAATGAAGGTTATAGACTTATAGTTATACTAGATAGTTTCCTTTTTTGAGGTTATAAACTCTACTTGTACTTGTTTAAACTGACTATCATCCATTTTTAATGCAATTTATGTATTACAATTAATAGTCAAAAAGTAAAAAGAAACCCATATGCTGAACTTACCTTATTTTACTCGAGTTCAACGAAAAGTAATGTCGATGTAGAAGATCAAGCGAGCCAGAGTCCCTTCTATAGATGGAGTCAGTTAGATGCCTTAGTTCTAATCCTGATATAAAAGGTGTGCCTGAATCTGTATTCACGACACACACATACAAGAAATCAGTGGATGGTGTGTGTATGATTTCTTTCCTCACTCTCTTAGATGAACTATCTAACTTCACAGTGTCCCATAAGTCAACCCCTAGGAGTAGATCAAATGTTGGAGGTTTATTTAAGGAATCGTAGTTTCCATACATAAAAAAAGCTCTGATCAAATAGTTTCTGCCTTTCCCTTGAGATGGTTTTAGAGTGTAGCAGTTCTTGGTTCCCTCCGGAAAGCTTCTGAGATTTGTGTACTGCTGCTTGAAGTTGTCTGATTTGTATTCTGGAAGAATGTCCATATTAATTCCGCTGTCAATATAATGTTCATCGGGTGTGTAATACAATGTTGTAGAACTATCTGTGTAGCTTGCATTTGTCCCACAATCAATGCTTATGAATCCTGTTACCAGTCAACACAAAAGTTAACAACAGATTTGTTGGAATATTTGCTACAAATTGTTAGTGGTTAGTTATAAACTAATGTATAGGAATATGTTGTTCTGATGTTAGGCATGATCTAATAATGATTATGGGATTATGTTCCTTACTTAGAGAGATAGAAAGAATGATGACAAGCAAAAAGGCACAATCTTTATTTTAGCTAAAACAGGACAATAAATATGATTTCAAGCAGTATCTTTTCATGGAGCATTTTTGTGTAATTTTCTAAATGACTGCTACAATGATCTTTTCACCTTATATGAGAACTCCAGATAATAACCCAAGTAGGTAAAGCCATGCATTCCAGCTCATACAGAATAGACAAAAAGAAGGAAAGCTGCACAACAGCACTAATAGACAAACAACATAAAGAAAATATTCCTATTCTGTATTTCATCACTCCCCCTCAAGAGTGAAGAATGAGACTGAACTCCGAGCTTGCATGGTCATGCATATGAGCTGATTCATTTGTTCAACAGTTAGAACCTTAGTGAACATATCTGCAATTTGTGGAGAGCTATGAACATAGGAAGGAGCAATAACCCTTCACTTGACTTGTCTCTTCATTAAATGACAGTCAATGTCAACATGTTTGGTCTTCTCATGATGCACTAGGTTTGCTATAATAGCTAAAGCAACCTGATTATCACAGAACACTGGTGTTATTCCCAGCTTTGTCATTCCCAGATCTTTCAGCAATTGCTTCAACCACATCACTTCACACACTGTCAAGGCCATCGATCTGTATTCAGCTTCTGCAGTGCTTCTTGCAACCACAGACTGTCTCTTTGATTTCCAAGAGACTGGACATTTCCCAAGGAGAATGCAGAACCCTGATGTTGATCTTCTGGTGCTTTGACACCCTGCCAAATCACTATCACAGTAGGCTTTTAATTCGAGGCAAGAAGAATTCCTAGTTAAGTTGAGCCTGACAAGTATCTAAGCACTCTTTTGGCACACTAGTAGTGAATATCAGTTGGTTTGTGCATAAACTTACTTAGCACATGAGCAGTAAAAGAGATGTTTGGCCTTGTGACTGTGAGATAAATAAGATTTCCCACTAACTTCTGGTATGGCTCAACATCATCATTTAAAGCATTCCCACATTAGTAGGTAGCTTTTAGCAGTTGAGTAACAACTAGCTGTTAATTAATAGTGGGTAGAGGTTAGCTGTCAATGTAGCAGTTAATATTATGAGTGTTTGGAAAAAAAATAGCGGTTGAATCGTTAAAATACAGTAAAAATTCATGCATAATATTTTAAAAGTAAACAAAATTTGTCAAAAGCTGCCTGCTACCTTTCAAACGCTAATATTATTAACGTTTGACAAAAGCTACCTGAACTCTAACTCTATTACTAACCGCTACATAAATCGCTATATTATAAAACACACTTATTTTTTACTACTAGCTTAGTGTTTTGATGACTTGGTCCAAACGCTAACCACTACCTGAAACGCTACCGCCAAATAGGGCCTATGTCAACAATGTATTTTCTTTGTGATAAGAATATGCCTTTGTTCACTTCTGTCTACTTCAATCCCAATAAAGTATCTCAATTCACCCATTTCTTTCATGTGAAACTGAGATGCAAGAAACAAGTTTGCTTCAGTAATTTCTTTCATATCATTTCCTGCTACAATCAAGTCATCTACATAGACTAAGATGCCTATAAAATTTCTACCTTTTTTCTTCGGAAATAATGAGCAATCAGACTTTGACAAAGTGAACATATTGCTCTTCAAGGCAGCACTCAACCTTGCAAACCATTGTCTAGGAGCTTGCTTGAGCCCATTCAAATATTTCTTCAATTTGCAATCTCTGTCAATTAAGTTAATTTGCTCCCCCTCTCCTTAAACTTTAATTCTGCTACCAATTCCAGTGTACCCTTGTGGAAGCTTCCTGTACAAATCTTCCTGCAATTCACCATGCAAAAAACATTTTAACATCCATTTGATGCACAATCGATCCATTCTTCAAGGGCAGCAACTGCAAGCAAAGACCTTACAATGGTCATTTTTGGTATAGGAGCAAATGTCTAATCACAGTCAGCTACATATATTTGCTTGTTTCCTTGAACAACAAGTCTTAATTTGTCTCTCTTTTTCTCTCCATTAGGTTTGTATTTAGTTTTGTACAACCATTTAGAACCTATTGCCTTTAACCTTGTGGAAGAGCAGTCATATATATCCCAAGTATGTAGCATTATCCTCTAGTGCTTCTAATTCCTCATTCATTGCATCTACCCATTCCTTTCTCTTCACAGTCTATTTAAAGTGTTGTTGGCTGGAACAGAGACAATGGTTTTTATTTTTTCTCGGATAATCTTGACATAAATATTTGATGAGGTGTTTCCCATCACATAATCTTTGTGCCAATTTGGTGGCACGTGAGCTCTAAAGCTCCTTCTCACCGGCTCTTCATCACCACTCAGGGTGTGTTAACCTCATCAGGTTGATCAACTTCTCATGATCAATTTCCTCATCAATTTCTATTGTATCTTATTCACTATCTTCTATAGCTCTACTATTAATGCATATGCCAGTGTTATTTATAATTTCAAACTGGGTTTTACTACAAGGATAGAACAGTTTGTAAAGACAGATGGATTTATAGAACTTCACATCCCTACTCACAAAAGATTTGGCTGGCCATTTCTAAGATGCTCCTGTGCTATCTTTCAACTCTTTCATTCTGTTGTGGTCTGTCCACACAGCTTGTCTGATGAACAATTCCCATCTTGTAGAAAAACTTCTTACAACTTGTATCATCAAACTCTAATTCATTGTCAGATCTTAATTATGACCTTCACTTCCTTTCCATATTGAGTTTTTCCCATATAAACAAACTCTTCTACAACATTGTATGCTTGAGATTTCTCTTTCAGCAACTTCACCCAAGTAATTTTTGAGAAGTTATCTACAATTGTCAAGAAGTAATTCTGATTATACCTAGTTGCCAATTTAAAAGCTCCCCAGTGTCTATAAGTTCAGCTCAAAGGCATATTTTGCCCTAAATTAAAGATGCTCAAGGTGTAGTGTCTACAAATGTATGTCTTCACACTTATTATCAGTTCCTTTCAGCTCTTCAATTTTTCAGATTTTATTCATGGGGGCATGATCTAACCTCTGGTGCCAGTGAGTTGGAGTGCTCAGCTTGCTCACATTTCTTACAGTCCTTGGAATGGCGGTTGTTGATGTTGCATTCAAGGCCACTTTCTCACTACGCTTCTTCATTACAGCAAGCTTCTTTATTACACTTATCATAGATTCATTTATGAGATAGTATAGACCATTTCCAGCCTTGCTATTCCTCTGATCACTCCACTATTCTTGTCGTATATTACACAATAGTGAGCATGAAAATCTACTTTACACAATTCATTTTCCACCAACTTCTATACAGAGAGCAAATTATGCTTGAAAACTAGAACATACAAAACTTCTTTTGAGTTTTATCCCATTTCTAGGCTCACAGATCCTTTGTGAGTGATTCTTGATGAGTGGCCTGTAGAAAGATTAATTTTTGCCTCACTTTTGCATTTCTTAGCATTCTCTAATTTCTCAAAATTGCTTGTTATATGATCTGATGCCTTTGAACCAATGATCTTGGTTGTACTTGCTGTATTTGCATAGTAACAGCTCACCACGCCTGCATATGTGAACTCTTGATCATCTTCCTCTTCTTGACTTGCTCCAGCATACTTTCCCACACTAGACCACATCTTCACCAGTTGCTCTAGCTGACTTGCATTGAAAGGCAAGGTAGAAGAGTTACTGCTAGCTAGCGCTCTCGCACATTTGTACCTGTTCTACCACCTCTTCCTGTTCTTCCTCCTCTATTTCCTCTACCACCTCTGAATCCACCTCTGTTACTTTTCACTCTAGAGTCTTTTGAGCTTTTGGATGTCCACTAGGGAGTTCCTTCAGATATAAACACTTTTCCCTAGTTTGACCACATTTTTCATAGTAAGTACATGAAACTTCTCCTGCCATATGTTCACTTCCCTTGCTGAGCATTGCTAAGGGTTCACTTTCTTCTTTCACAGCTTTCAAGACTGCTCTCTGATTTTCTTCTTGATGCAGTGCATTGCATGCCGAGTCTACACTAGGTAAAGGTGTTTGCATAAGAAAATGACTCCTTTGTTGATTGTAACTGTCGTCTAGTCCATTTAGAAACTGGAATAGTTTCTACTCATCTTGATGTCGATTAAGGGCAGTGAGAAATGCAGATAGCTTGCCCTGGTGGTAGTAATAGGAGGTTGACTAGTCATGCTCTCTAGTTCCTACGACAAAATTTTCAACTTTGTGTAGTAATCAGTCACACACTTCCTAGACTGCTTTGTCTCTTAAATTCATTTATTTAAACCGATACTTTCTGGATCCTTTCCATACGTTTGCTGAAGTTGTGTCCTGAGAATAGTTATTAATAAACACAATAGAGTTTTTGATGGAATTAGATACGTTTCCCAGTATCTAGGCTATGATCATGTTGTTACTAGTATCCCATGCTTCTTGTTTTACTCGATCACTCAGATCTGATCTCTTCTCACGATTCCAGTCACAAATCCTTATTTCCTTTTGGATCATAGACTGAATCCATTTATCTTTTCCAAGATATGTAATTACTTGACCCTTCCAGTTTTTCTATACTGATAGAGTTGCTTCCATCAAATGGATGCAGATATAAAGGACTTGTAGTCTCTATTACGGTTGACATGTTCACTTAAATAGCAGGAATATTGTAGTATTTATCAATAACGGTGTCACCTTTATATGTTCCTTTTACAAATCTAGCAGCTCTTAATATTAGACCTGGCAAATGGGTCATTTGGGTCGGGTCAAATTCGGATCAACAAATATTCGGGTCGGTTTTGGGTCAGGTCGGGTTGTTTTGGGTTTTGGGTCACCAATTTGGGTGGCGTTTGGGTAGGGTTAAGTTCGGGTCGAGTCGTTTTGGG